TAATGCTTGAACACAGCCTATTAAACATGCTTGTTTTCTGCATAAGGCATATCACAACTGTTTTGCACTTAGGGACACTAGATAGCACTTCTTTTTCTTTTTTTTAAAAAATATGGTATTTTATAAATTTATTTTTATTTATTTTTGGCTGCATTGGGTCTTTGTTGCTGTGAGCAGGCTTTCTCTAGTTGCAGCAAGCAGGGGCTGCTCTTTGTGGTGCACAGGCTTCCCATTGGGGTGGCTTCTCGTGCGGAGGATGAGCTCTAGGCACGTGGGCTTCATTAGTTGCAGCACGTGGGCTTAGTAGTTGTGGCTCACGGGCTCTAGAGCACAGGCTCAGTAGTTGTGGTGCATGGGCTTAGTTGCTCCATGGCATGTGGGATCTTCCCGGACCAGGGCTCAAACCTGTGTCCCCTGCATTGGCAGGCAGATTCTTAACCACTGTGCCACCAGGGAAGTCCCTAGATAGCACTTCTGTACTACACAATGGGGCCATTCTAAAATGTGAAACCACCAAGAAATAGCACAAAAATGAAAAAAAGTGCTAAGTAGACTACAAAAAGGATATGATTACAGTACAACAGCTGAAACAAGAAGACAAGGCATTATCTGTTCAGATTCAGCTGGGAGAATGTATATTGGGCAAATTTTTTATCATTCTCTGAATGTCTGCAAATGAATGCAAAATCACAAGTACTGATTTGGAAGTTAAAAGTAAATTTTAGTGAGTAGGTGAATTTGCAAATACAGAATCTGAATAATGAGAATTGACTGTATTTGGAAGGTGTGTTGATATGCTGTATTTGGAAGCATATCAATTTATGTTACAACATCTGTTAAAAGAATCATTTTATCATTATATATATGTGTATGTATATATATATATATTTTTTATACTTTCTTACATTCAGGCCTACTGCTTTTCATGTTAATATAGCCACATCAATTTTCTTTTGGTTAGTGATTATGTATATATCTTTTTGCATCCTTTTCCTTTCAATCTTCTTACATCTGCCTCTATAAATTGTGTTTTCCTTGTTATTTTTATGCTGTCAGTCTTTCCTTTAATTGTATTCGTTAGTCCAGAGGTTGGCAAATTTTTTCTGTAATGTGTTAGGTAGTAAATATTTTCAGTTTTGATAGTCATAAAGTCTCTGATAAAACTGCTAGTCTCTGCTTGTTTTTGCATAAAAGCAACCATAGACAATACAAAATTATTGGGGGTAGGGGGGTTGCTGTGTCCCAATAAAACTTTTATTTTAAAAAGTGGCAAGCTGGATTTGGCCACAGGTCATAATTTGCTGACCGCTTCACTGGAGCATGCCCAGGGTAGTAGAGTGGGATGAAAATTGTAGGAAGTGTATTTATATTTTTTTGCTAAAAAATAAATTAAAAAGACAAAAGTTTTACTAATATACTTATTGAGAGTACAAGTATATAACTCATAAATACATACAAATTAAGTTATTAATATTTTTAGTAATTGAGCACCTCCAAAGTATAAGCTAAAATTAGATAGAAAATAGGCATCCTTTATATTCATTTGTTTCAGCTCTTTACGGTAAACATAAGAACTGTTTTCATGCGTATTTCCTGTGTCATCTAATTCTAAACCCAGATTAAACAGAAATGTACTCTTGCAGGCATCAGTGTCATTCAAGGACGTAACTGTTGAACTCACCCAGGAGGAGTGGCAGCAAATGGGTCCTATTCAGAAAACCCTCTACAGAGATGTGATGCTAGAGAACTACAACAACCTAGTCTCAGTGGGTGAGCATATAAGCATAACTTACCCTCATAACTCCATACAGAAGGCATTTCCTTTTTATGCATCAGTACACATGAATACTTTAGATTTTAATGTCATTTAGGCTTTTTATTCAGGAATATAATGTAACCAAGCCCTACTGAGGAATAGAAAGTGTTTGACTGCCATTGCCAATTGCCAATAATAAATTCAGCTGAGGGCCTTCAGGATGCTGTTCCTGAAGCTTTTTCCACTTCTGGAGACTAAAAAGCTCATCATCTGGCCGAAGTACTCAGTTGTTGCCTGTTTACAGGGAACTGCATTTTCAAACCAGAGGTGATCTTCAAATTGGAGCAAGGAGAAGAGCCTTGGTTCTTAGAGGAAGAATTCTCAAACCAGAGCCATAAAGGTGAGTTACTGAGCACTAATAGAATTCTGTGGGGTAAGTTAGACTCCAGAAGGTCAGTTTAGCAGTGAACACATTCATATTTCAAGACTTTTCTTATAAGTCCCAAAGGCACAAAAAACACCAGTCAAAAGAGAATGATTAATAAACTTGACTACATTAAAATTGAGAATTTTGTTCATAAATGATAGCATTAAAAGGATGAAGAGACAGGCCACAGAGTAGCAGAATAGATATACAAGTAACCTAGAAAGGATAAGCATCCTGAAAATGAAAAAACTTCTGCAAGTCTATATAGGAAAGCATAGCAGCTCAGTTTAGGTGAAAGACTTTATATATAGGAGCTTTCAAACAGCTGTTAAAATCTTTGAAAATGTGTTCAATCTCATTTTTCTCAGAATGCAAAATAGAGTATAAGGTGAGGTAAGTAATATGTATAGCATGAAATGAGATTAACAAATCTGGCAATGGCAAGTCATGGGGAGGATGTAAAATATTAAAGACCCTTATTTATTGACTGAAAATGTAAACGGATAAAACCACTCTGAAATCAGGAACATGTTATCAAATAGTTAAAAGTTTTACACACCTGTAACCAAGTAATCATTTTCCCAACTGTATACCCTATAAAAAGGCATGATTGTATTCTCTAGAATGAATAAAAATATTTATGGCAATATTGGTTATTTTTGCCAAAATTGGGCTCATTAGCAATAGAATAAAGGAATAGTATTTCTTAAGGGAGAATTATACAGCTATATGAAATCTTATACAATGATTGCAAACATAATATTAAACAAAAAATATAAATATGAATGTATGGTTACATTTATGTAAATGTCAGAAACAAGCAAAACTCAATTACATTTTTAGGAATTAATATATAGGTGGTAAAACTACAAAGAAAATCAAGGAGGTAAATATCAGGAGAGTGATGAACTCTTAAGCATGAGGAAGTTGTTACCAGGCAGGGATTTTTTGCAGAGCCATTTATGTTCTGTTTCTTGACGTGGTTTCTAATTCGATGAGTGTTCACTCTATACTGTTAAATTGCACATATAAGTTTTATGCAAATATAAATTATGTTTCATGCTTAACAGAAAGTTACAAGATGAACCAAAAGTAAAATAGTGTTCATATAAGCCAGAAAGGATGGGCATCTAGAATGCATAAGGAATTTGGATCTTTGCAGTAAGGTCTTCCATGATACCTCATTTAAAATCGCACCCCTCATATCAAACTGAAATGTGGAAATTTAGAATGAAGTCATCAGGTTCACTTATCTGCACTTTTGTTAGATGAAATAAGTCAAAGGTATCACAGCCAGAATTGAGCAGTGAATCTAATTTAATTATAAGAATTGATTTTCCTTTTATCAGTCTTATACTTGTTTGTATTTCTATGACTCATAGCTGCAAGATGGGTTTTATCCTGAGCTATAAACCTCTTCATTTAATCATGAGGAGGTTGGTGCTATCAATTTAATTTGATTTTGAAAGACTGAATGGAAATAAGGAATGATATCAAATTGAAGTATGAAGACTCTTGAGGATTTTACCAGTAGAGCCTAGATAATGTTGGACCTCCACTGTAATTTACTTCCTCAAACCAAACCATTCTGTTGGGCCTAGCCCATCAATGCTTATTATCTCCTAATTTTCTTGTTACTCTACTTAAGTTTATAACCCCCTGTGTTGTATTAATTATCTGGTTTTCCTGCTCCCTAAAATCACTCCCATAAAAGTCTAATTTCTCTTCCTTCTCCACCCAGGTAGGGAAATCCAATTTATCACAATCCAACTACAGATATGTATTTATAACCAGTTTCCTCTCTAATTTTCAATGTATCAATATTATTTTTTAAAGGAGGGTGTCTCTCTCTCATACACACAAACCCACAAATTAATCTTGAGAAACCAAAAAATGAAATGCAACAAAGGCTATATGTTTATAAGCCCCATCCATAAGAAGAGTAAGATTCAAAGTGATTTCAATTTTTCTGTTTTAGAAGACTACAGAGATGAAAATCTAATCAAGAGGAACAAAAAAATCAAAGACAAACACCTGCAGCAAGTAACATTTATAAATAATAAACAGTTGCCTAGAGAGGAAGAAGTAGTTTTGAGGAAACCATTTAATCTGCACATAGTTCCTGTTTCTTCATCAAAAATGTCCTGTAAATGTGACTCATGTGGAGTGAATTCGCAAAGTATTTCTCAATTTATCATTAATAGTAGAACCTACTCAACAAAAAACACAGATTGTTATAATGTATGTGAAAATTTGCCTTTCAAAATTAAGCTTGAAAGAACTCATACTGGAGAGAAATTTTATGAATATGATAAAAATCAGGAAACTCTCAGTTATAAGGAAAATCTTCCTGAGCATCAAAAGTGTCAAACATTAAAGCAAGCTTTTGAATTTAATGGGATTGGAAAAGGCTTCTATGTTGAGGCTGCCTGTGTTAAACATAAGAGTACTCACACAGGACAACAATCCTGTAAAGATGAAGAGTTTAGGAAAAACTATGACAAGACAACTCTCTTTGACCATGAAAGAACTGGGACAGGGGAGAAACACTCTCATCTTAACCAGTGTGGGAAATCCTGTGAGAAGTCAGCTATCAAGGAATATAATAAATTTAACATGACTGTGAAACACTGTGAATGTATTACAGGTGGGAATAATTTCAGCACGAAGTCATACCTTACTCAACCTCAGAGAACCCTCACAGAAGAGAATCCATTGGTATGTAATGACAGAACACAAACTGGAGATAAACACTTTGAATGTCATGAAAATAGGAAGTCTTACCAGAAAGCCCACAAAGTATGCCAGAGAACTCACTATGAAGTAAAACCCTATAAATGTAATGAATGTGGGAAATCCTTCTGTCAAAAAGGACATCTCATTCAACATCAGAGAACTCACACAGGAGAGAAACCATTTGAATGTAATGAATGTGGAAAAACTTTTTCCCAGAAGTCACACCTCAGTACACATCAGAGAATTCACACAGCAGAGAAACCCTATAAATGTAATGACTGTGGGAAAACATTTGTCCAGAAGTCAACCCTCAGGGGACATCAGAGAATTCACACAGGAGAGAAACCCTATGAATGTTGTGATTGTGGGAAAACTTTTGTTCAAAAGTCAACCCTCAGAGATCATCACAGAATTCACACAGGGGAGAAATCCTTTCAATGTAACGAATGTGGGAAAACTTTTGGCCAGAAGTCAAACCTCAGAATACATCAGAGAACTCACAGTGGTGAGAAAACTTATCACTGTAAAGAATGTGAAAAATCCTTCTGGCGAAAAGACCATCTCATTCAGCATCAGAAAACACACACAGGAGAGAAACCATTTAAATGTAATGAGTGTGGGAAAACTTTCGCCCGGACATCAACCCTCAGAGTTCATCAGAGAATTCACACTGGGGAGAAGCCATTTAAATGTAATGAATGTGGGAAAAAATTTGTCCGGAAGGCAATCCTTAGTGATCATCAGAGAATTCATACAGGGGAGAAACCCTTTCAGTGTAATAAATGTGGGAAAACTTTTGGTCAGAAATCAAACCTTAGAATACATCAGAGAGCTCACAGTGGGGAGGAATCTTATGAATGTAATGAATATGGAATATTGCCTAAGAAGTCAACCCTAAGTGTATACCAGAGAATTCAGGGAGGGGAAAAACCAAATTGATATAATAACTGTGGAAAATTCTTCTGACTAAGAGACCAACCTATTTGACATCAGAAAATTCACAAAGGAGAAAAACCATATGTCTGAATATAGGAAGAATTTTTCCCAAAAGGCAACTCCGAGAGTGTATCAGAGAATTCACACAGGATTTCTTTCAAGGTGCTCTGGAAACCTTGTTGGATGGAGTCATGCCTGTTAGATAACTCATATCACATGTGCTGGTAATCTCAGTAAGAATTTCATAGCTAAACTAAATTTCCCTATCTCCCTTTCATCTAACTGGGGCTTTGTGACTGTCTAGTAGACTGAGAATGCTCATGTTGTATGCCACACCTAGCTCTGACTTCCCTGGTCCCAGCAGTATCTCAGTCATACATGGAATAGTAGCAACTATCCCTTAGAGAGGAAATGGATCCCCCACTTTGCTGCCTTAAGCAAAGCTGCTGACTCAGTAGGACCCTCAACTCATAAGTACTCTAATTGGGCCTGTTTCACTGATGGTTTTGCTAGTTGAAACCACTTGGACACTGTGTTCAACCTCAGTGCCATTATGCAGACCACAAAACTAATGTGGTTGCTCCTCTCACTGGGCAGAACACAAAGATGTTCTCAACTCTAGCCAGTATTCCCTCTGATGAAACTTGGTGTGTTTTCATTGACTCTTGGGTTCTTACTGTACCTAGCTATCTGACATGCCTGTTGTAAAACTATAGGCTTATAAAAGCACCCCTGTTTGGCACTGTGAACTGTGGGGGGAAAATCACAGCTGCTGAGCACAACGTCTGGGTTGTTCAACTAGATTCACATGGTAAGAGACTATTCTCTGATAAGACTGACTGGAATCAAGTTGCTGATCAAGCCCCCACTACCCTGATTGCCAGCATTGCTACCTGAATCCATATGATACTGATGGCAAAACATTTACTGTCTTACCCTGGATACATAGTAAAGGTCTGTGTATATATCCAATGTTTCCTTTGATGTCATTTGATACAAGAATGTAGTTTTTTTCTTCTGGATTAGTAGTCAGTGCTCCATATGCCATTTGATTAATTCATCCCTTTCCTACTGATTTTAAATATCTTCATATACTAACTTGTTATTTGTAAACATATTGCATATGACTGACTACTCGTGACCATATTAGTAACAGATTCTCCTTTTATGAACAGGGATGGCACATACCTCATATGAGCCAAAATACCCTGTCTTTCTGGTCTGATACTGAATGTTTCACTGAAGGGTATTTGAATCAAGTTTAGAAAAGGAGAATACCTCCTAGGACTTTGGAAGTGAAACATCACAGACCAGTTACATTGTTACGCCAGAGCTGCCAGCAGCATTGTGAAGAAGATTCAGCTGCAATAAGAGAAAATAATGTCCAGTTAGTACTATATTCCCTGAAAATCAAGAGATTACTGTTTACTCCGTTTTTATAATTGTTGGTAATATAAAGAAAGTCATTCATTCATAAAATTTCTCTGTTTCTTAAGATATGTAGAATCATCTCCTTTACACCCCCTTTCACGTATCATCTTTTAGGATTATGATTGGATATGCTATTAAGTGCAGGACCATCTACCCTCCAAGATGGAACCAATTCACCCAAGTGGCCTGAATGGGAGGCCAGGTGACAAAGTCCCCTGATGGCACTCATGCTGTATCTGCTGTCTCCTTGGTGGGGAAGCCTCTCCAGATAATACATTATCAACTGGAGACCATGGTCTATGCTGCAGTCATGAACACTCCATTCTCCCTGCCTGGTTTATCTCCTTTTGAAGTATTAACTTTTATTCCAACAGATGGGTGCCTTATCTGGAGACACTGGCAGAGTCAATTTCCTGTCTGCCTGCCTACTAAGGGTCTTCGAGCTAATAAAAGAAGCCTCCATGAAGGCAGGAATTTTTATCTGTTTTGTTCATAACATGTCCCTCTACATATTGGGCATTAAAAAATTATGAAGAGTCCCTCTACGTATTGGGCACTAAAAAATACTTGTTGAACATAGAATTATCAAAGTGATATCAGAAAATTTTTCCTTTTGATTCTTCAAATTATATTTTGAGATTATTCATTATTATTATAAATAGTTAAGGAAATTATTGCTCTAAGCTCCCACTCAGACTCTTCTCTTTTGTCTATTTTCTAAAATTGCTAGGAGAAAACTCAATATTCAGAAGTGTTCTTCAGATCTCTTTAAGCCAAAACAAAATTTATTTTCAATAAACTAGTATTCCCAGTTCAAAATTATGTCTGCATAGCTATGTATTGGTACATAGCTATAGCTAAGTTACAATCAAAAAAATTGTGCGTAACAATAACAATGATAAATTAGATTTTCAGGATCAACCAAATGGGAAGGCAAAATAATTAGTTCTTGGGGTCATGTATTTAATTCATCATATCATTAGTTTTGCTCATTTTTACTTCCCAGTCAACTTCCTGACAGTTACAAGGAAAAGTTTTTTATTGTCTCAGGTCCAAGAATCTATCTCCTAGGAGACATGTCTGACCCCAAAAGAACAGGTATAACATCTGCTCTGACCTACCTCCACGTTTTGTTTTTCCTTGCCAGGTATATAATACCTCTTCTGTCACATTAAAGGTCTCCCTAGAAGCCTAGCAGAAATAGTATATTCTGTCCTTCTACCAAGGCAGCTTCACACTGTAATGGGGGTGAAACAAATTTGTTTTGTGGAGACTGCACAGTCTCCAAGTACCATTAACCTGCCTGACCAATTGGCTATTTTAGTGATCTTCCAGTTTTCTAAGGAACTGACTGCCAACTGACAAAAGCATAATTAGCTTAATTATCAGCTAACTAGCTTGATACACAATTAATAAACTGAGAAACTACTTGGAATAGTACTCAGCCATAAAAAAGAACAAAATAATGCCATTTGCAGCAACGTGGATGGACCTAGAGATTGTCATACTGAGTGAAGTAAGAGAAAGACAAATATATGATATTGCTTATATATGGAATCTAAAAAAATGGAAATTAATATATTTACAAAACAGAATCACAGATGTAGAAAACAAACATGGTTACCAGTGGGGAAAGAGGAGGGGAGGGATAAATTGGGAGATTGGGATTGACATATACATACTACTATATATATTAAAATAGATAACTAATAGGACCTACTGTATAGCACAGGGAAGTCTACTCAATACTGTAATGGCCTATATGAGAAAAGAATCTAAAAAAGAGTGGATATATGTGTAACTGATTCACTTTGCTGTATACCTGAAACTAACGCAACATTGTAAATCAACTATACTCCAATAAAAATTTAAAAAATAAAAATAAAATAAAGTTATGATCCGGTCAACTTAATTTAGATACTTTAGAAAATACCAGCATTATCCAAAATCATTATTCAAGCATTACACAAATTTCTATGTAATTATCAGCTTGCTTTTGTGAACATCAAATTATAGGTCGACCCAGTTTCCCCCATGGCAGATTGACAGACCTGGTAGATTGAGTAGATGTGATACCTGCATTATATATTGACACTATGCAGTATATTAAAGCTATCCACTGTCTCATTCATGGCCTGATGATCAATTAGGAGGGAACACGGTGGATGATAAGAATAAGAGAGGAGACTCTGATAAGAAAGTGATCTTAACAAATGTAATGATTGGGGAGAACAAAATACAGAGTGAAATGAAGTTGAGGAATATCCCCAGGTTTATATACTCAGGTGCCCTGTTCCTAAAACTCAAAAAAAAAAAAAAAAAAAAACCCCTTTAAAAAAAAATCTAAAATCAGACTCCGTGAGCCTCAAAAAACTGTATTTAAAGAAAAAAAAAAAAAAAAAAAAAAAAGTGCACTGGAGCTAAAGCAGTGCTGAGCAAGAAATTCATACCACCAAAAACTTACATTAGAAAAAAAGAAAGGTCTCAAATGAATAGTCTCATCTCTCATCTCAAGAAACAAAAAGAGCAGAGTAAAAAAACCCAAAGCAAGCAGAAGCAAAGAAATAATGTAAGAGCAAGATTCAATCATGTTGAGAAGAGAAAATCTAAGAAACCTGAACTTAATCCTTTGAAGATAGAAATAAAACTGATAAAACTCTACTATGACTGAAAAAAAATGATACAAATTAATTCAGGAATGAAAAATATGATATCACTACACAAATACTGAAAGGATAATCAAGGAACACTACAGAAACTCTGTGTGTGTCACTTTGACACTTTATGTGAAACCAACCAATATGGACGTCAATATCACAAAGCCACAAATTATTAAAACTCAAGATAAAACAGAAAATCTAAATTTTTCTATAACTATTAAATACATAGAATTCATAGCAAAAAGCATTCCCGAAAAGAAATGTTCAGGCTCAGTTGATTGCAATGAAGAATTCTACATTTAAAGAATTAACACCAGTTCTACCCAACTTCCTCCAGAAAAGGAGGGAATACTTTAAAACATTTTATGAAGCCTGCACACAAAAACATGACAAAGACAATAAGAAAAAAGAAAACTAAATATTTATATCTCTCATGAATTTCCATTAAAATATCCTCAAAAGCCTATTAGCAAATCAAATCCAGCAATATATAAAAACTAATATCACAACAAAGTGGAA